CACACACACACACACACACACACACACACACACACACACACACACACAGCTTGAACATTGGAACCATGTATCCTGGTGAGGCTAAAATTGGCAAAGGCAGAGCTGAATGCCAAATGATAATTTCTGCTAAATAATTCAAGCTATGTGAACTCTGATATTTCCCTTACTTTAATGAGTATAATGTGTGCAATTACCAGTTGCTTTCCTTGCAGGGACAATGTGCCTTTTCCTAATTGTGGACTCCAGTTTTCTTTAGGTAACTCCTACTGCAAAGATCCCTATAAGCCCCGAGTCTTGTACATGCAGCCACTAAACAAATGAACATTACTGAGTTGATGGCAGTTATAACGAAGAAGAAAAGGATTGCAGAACAAAAGCTAAGCTTGCCTATAAGCTCGTCAGCAGTAGACAAATCTCACAGAAATGATAAATCTCATGATGTGGGACTCTAGTTCCTCTGTGACATTGTCTTTCTCCTTTTCCCCATGCAGGGAGGTGATGCTGACACAGTGGATAAGAATAAATGCTGTACTCTCTGTAACATGTCCTTCACCTCTGCCGTGGTGGCCGACTCCCATTACCAAGGCAAAATCCATGCCAAAAGGTTAAAACTGTTGCTAGGAGAGAAACCTCCATTGAAAACCACAGGTATGTGTGGGAACGGATGATCCGGGCTGGTTCTGAGAGCCACACGCTGCGTCTGTCACATGGATTGCTCTCTCTTTGGAAGCTGCCGGCTTTGTGGGTCTAATGGCAGATGCCACTGAAAGCCCACAGGGATGGATGGGGAGCCAGGGCACACCAGGGCACACCAGACCACTGAGTGTGATTTCAGCGGCTACTGTTTATATCCTCTGTGATGTTTGTCACACCTATTACACCATGTGACATTCACATCTGTGGTGCTCTCCCAGGTTCAACCTGCATGGGTATGGATGTGCACCCAACACAGGAGGCAGGTTCCTGCCAGTGTCTCTGTAAAGCCAGTACCATTCTTTACATTTGTGCTTTACATTTAGCAGGGCGTTATTATACGTTCTTAGTTTGGTGGAGGGGAGGTAGGGATGGAAACCGTAGTCTCTGCAACCAGTTTAGTTTGGAGATGAATGTGTGCTTACGACATTCCTTCCATCATTACTGGGGAAGCTGTGATCAAACCATTTAACTTTCATCAGTAGCGAATAGTGATAGCAGATTACCTGACCTTCTAAATGCTTGACTAAAGGATGTCTTTGGAGGTTTATCAACTCGCGAGGCTAAAAAAAAAAAAAAAAATTATTTTATATAATTTAGTAACACTGAAACTATTTGGCCAAGATTTATATCGCGATGAAGATGTTACTGCAGTGGGTTATAATCCCAAGAAGTTAGGATATATTTTTCATCGTGCCTACTCTTGCAGTGCAATTAAAATTTAGTAGTGCATTTTATCTTGCTGTCTAATGAATCGTGCATAAATCGTGGGTGTAATTATTTTAAAACGGTATTTTGTGTCTCTGAAACAATGCTTGGCTTCTGCTTCCCTGCAGCTTGTCTTCAGCGACTATCTTCTTCTGCTTAGCAAACAGCAAGGAATCTCTTCACTTCATTTCCCAACTCAGTTGAGTAAAGCAGGTGGTTTTCTTGGAGGTGGCTATGACATTCACGTGTAGAATGGTTTTGTCTGGGAACAAGTGCGGCTTATTTTGGAGCCTCTATGTGATGTGGCATTGATCAAGTGGTACTCTATTGAGACTCTTGTGCTCTGAAAAGCTGGGGCACCAACCTTGTGTCCTACACACTGTCAAATCTCTTAAAATAGACTCCACAAAGAAGCAGTCGCTGGGAAATTTTTGTCTGTTCTTTCCGTGAATGAGGAGCCGATGTGTTCTCTTTGCCTAAACTGCATGGTGATGTTAAGTAAGTAGAATCTGGAGGAGACAGGCTGTATCTTTGCTTATTGCATTGATTAGCAAATGGGAAAATAATTATTTCGGTATCAGAACTCTCACATGCCAGAAATAGTGATTTGTGATTTTATATCCATCTTCAAGGAAACTAAGGGCCAGGTTATTTTTCTGAACTCCCCCAATCCCAAAACTAGGGCATAGAACTCAAGGGTGACTTACTAACTCTCAGTGTATTCTAACGTCGAGGCTGGCTTGAGAGCTTAGAGGGTAAACTTGCTACCAAGTCTGAGAAGCTGAGTTTGATGACTGGACCTCTGTGATGGGAAGAGAGAACTTAAACTTTGACCACTACACATGTATTATAGTATGGCAAGCATGCCTCCTCATAAACAAATACACTAAAACATTGCAAGAATAAGCACACACACATGCACACACACACACACACACACACACACACACACACGGGAGCATTATTCAAAAAAATCAGATCATTTAAAGGGTACCCTTATTCACAGTTAGTCCTTGTTATCCACAGTGCTAATTTAGCTGTGAGATTGCAGAAATCAAAGAACCTGTTGGGCCAGGACGGAATGGGAATGGGAAAAGGCAGATTACACTAACAGCTTGCAGCTTCCATTGTGAATCACGGGTCCAGTTATCAGAGCTTAGACTCTTCCTCATTCAGTTTGCACTGCCCTTCTCCAGCATTGCCCTCTCATCCATCTGCTCCGAGCAGAAAGGATCTGGGAAGGTAGCACCCATAGACAAAATTGGAGTGCCAAGAAGCTAAACGGTTTCTCATGCTTGGAATGGTGCCAGCCATTAGGCACAAAAACATACAGAAATGACCACTGGGAGGTGTGGTCTAGGCTAAAGGTTGGAACATGGATGGGACAAAGGGGTAGCATGCTAGTGCCCCTGCAGAAAACGTGAGTGATGAGGCTGGGCACCCTCAGTAGTTGACAGCTGGACTTTGGATGCAGTTCTGGGGTTTGGGGAAAATAAGGGTTGCCCATTGTCTTAGTCAGGGTTTCTGTTGTTGAGAGGAAACAATATGACCAAATAGTAAGTTGGGGAGGAAAGGGTAGTTTTTTGTTTTGTTTTTTGTTTTTTGTTGTTGTTGTTATTTTTGGCTTGAACTTGAGCATCACTTTTCATCACCGAAGGAAGTCAGGACAGGACTTCAAGCAGGGCAGGAACCTGGAGGCAGGAGCTGATGCAGTTGCCATGGAGGGGTGCTGCTTACTGACCTGCTTCCCATGGCTTGCTCAGTTTGCTTTCTTTTAGAACCCAGGACCACCATCCCGGGGTTAGAATCAACCACCATGGGTTGGGTCCTCCCCCATTGATCACTAAATGAGAAAATGCCTTACAGTTGGGTCTCAAGGAGGCAGTTCCTCAACTGAGACTCTTTCTTCTGATGACTCCAGCTTGTGTCAAGTGAACACACAAATCCACCCAGCATACACATTATGGAATATACTCATTGTAAGTGGATGGTTGCTCTAAAGTAAAAGGCAATCATGGTATAGTCTACAGACCCAGAGAGAATAAATAATGAGGTCTTAAGGTGAGTCGTAAGGATCTTCTTGGTAAGGGGAAATAGAATAGACTTTGCTGATGGACTGGGGTGGGTAGGGGTGGGAACAGGAGGGATCAGCTGGGTTGGAGAGGGAAACTACTGAGAGAAACAACTAGAACTGGGCATTTCAGGGGCGAGATGGAAACCTAGTGCAATGAAAACTCCATGGAATCTACAAGGGTAACCCTAGCAGGGAGTCCTAGCCATAGGGGACAAAGAGCCTGAACTAGCCATCTTCTGTAACCAGGCAAGGCCTCAAGTGGAAGGATTATGACACTGACCCAGCCACAAAACCTTCAACCTGCAGTTTGTCCTGCCTGCAGAATGTTCTGGGACCAGAGCCTAGCAGAATCCTGTTCAAAGAGACCAAAGAGACGTCATCCAGCAACTGATGGGAGTGGATGCAAAGTCCCATAGCCAAACACTAGGCAGAGCTTGAGGAGGCCCATAGAGGACGGGGAGGATTAATTGAAGAAACGAGAGGGGTCAGGGACAACATGAGACCATGGCCCACAGAATCAATTGACTGGGACTCATGGGGGCTCACGGAGACCAGGAAGCCTGTAGGTATCTGCCCTAGGTCACCTGAATATATGTACTGGCTGAATAGGCTGGTGTTCTTGTGGGATTTCTAACAGGGGAAGTGAGGGCGGTCACTAACTCCTTTGACTCCCTATGGGGTTCTTTCCCTCCTACTGGGTTGCCTCACGTCCTTGATGTGATGTATCTTACTGGTTACTGTAGCATATTATGCCACATTTGGTTGATGTCCCTGGGAGGCTTCCTCTTTTCTGAGGGTACATAAAGGGGGTGTGGATATGGGGGAAAAGGAAGATGAGAGGGAGAGACTTGGGAGTGGTGGGAGGCAGGAGAAATTACAGTCAGGATGTAACAGAAGAATAAGAAAAAAAGAAAAAGAATGAAACATGACCATCAGTTAAGGAACAGGTGTCAGACTGGAGAAGGACTTTGTTGAGGTACGGCCATAAGCATTAACCCAGTTATTGTGAGGGCAAAACCCTAGAAGCTGGAGAAGACCCAAGCCAGGGCATTTGAAGTTGTTGTGTGTTCCCTGCCTGGCATCAGACAGCCTTTCCTTGCAAGCCACAGCCTTTCACGACAGCGATTTAAAGAGGGCTCGGTTCAGAGGTTTTTCTGTGCGCATGTACACAACAGGCTTGGACTGCCTAATCAGCTTGGCTGTCTTGAAATTATATCTGTAATGAAAACAAAAGGGAAAAACTGACATGTAAGAACCAGTCAACTGAATCACGGTGCCAGAGAGAAGCAATTCCCTGTTCAGGGAATGCCATGTCATGAATAATAGCCTCTCAAACCCCAGTGATTTCTGGGTAGTCATAATTGGAGAAGAGCTTGCTGTTTCCCTGTGCTACTTCATCTGACGGAGGTGAGGGAGCAGTCAGGACCTGTGAATCACTCTTTTCTTCCACCTCCATCTGTCCTTGGATCGCACATCTACTGAGCACGCTGCAGGATGTACTGACCTTTGAGTTGCCTTCCTCAGAGGGGAGCATCTTTATTCGGGCTTCCACGCCTTCTCAGTTTGTCCAGACACAGTTGTGCAGACAAAAGCACAGGGAGAGATGCTGGGTCACCACGTGCTCACAGGTTCAAAGAACTCGGGGTGCAGGTCATGTCCAGATGGGAAGGGAGATGTGTGCTGCCATCTCCAGTCATTTGCAGTGAGACCAGAAAAACTTGAAACTTGGCTATGCAGAGAGGCCAGAGAGCAGAAGACTGTGGCAGTTAGCTATCACTATAGCAACAGGACAGTGACTTTCTAATTTACAATTCGGGGGAAATAAAGGCATACAGACCAATTTTAAGTAAAAGCAATGATGATGATTTTAAAAGTAAAAAAAAAATCTTAGGGAGAAATGCAAGATTTTAATGAGCAGGTAATTCGCAAATCACAATTTACCCTTCGGGCTTTCTTTCCTCCGGTCAGATTCTTGCTGGATGCTGCTTTGTGCTGTGGAGTCACTGCAGGGCAAGATTGAGAGGTTCACTGATTTGATTGATGGCTTGAGGCAGAGCCCTGGGAGGCGGGACCTGGGAAAGGAGATAGGCTATGTTCACAGTGTAACCAGCATCCTGAGATTTGTTTTAGAGCAGAGTCCCAAAGGATTGGAACAATCGTGAGTGACTGTTAT